TATTTCACCCACATTAGCTAAGAACAGAAATTGTAACTTTTCATATGCAACTTTGAGATTCTAGTAGATAGAACATGTCAGAACTTTGGAGAAGATTAACAGCAAAAACCACAGTCCAAACAGCAACGGTATAAACTATAATGAACAGAAAATAACTTCAACACTGTAATTCCGTGTTGACGCCATGAACATGAAGGAATTACTTTGTTGAAGGAGAAGATCACAAACGACTTTACTGACTGCCTAAAGAGTGTGTTATGGTGAATACGCGTACAGATAATTCCCGTCAGAAGATTCATCCCATCAAAAATGACGCAATCGCCAACAACTCCAGGGAAATAAATTACCTACGCAAGTTTTGTAGGTCGCTCCTATCAACCTAAGAGATCCCTCTTTATAAATACACGATGATTTTATGGATCGGGGTTTTCTGATGGAACGATGAATAATTTTCGTAGAAGTTACTGCGATATTTAAGAAGCAAATGTGCCAAGTACTTTGATGGATTTGAGAACTCGAGACAACTTGCCGACGTTTTTTAAACAGTGTTATGATCAAAATTGTTTAGCTAATTTGATCAAAAAAGCCTCATAGAATTTAAAATAAGTCAGGGCCTTAACGTACACCGCAAGTCCACACGTCAACAGCAACCAGTGTTTTCGGATAGCCAGGCTGCATGTACGAAAACTGAAAAACGACCAAAATCAAATAGTTGATTTTATAAAAACTAATTTGAACTAGGGTAGAGTAAGCTATTAAAAAGCACGTATAATATTTAAACGACTTTAAAACGGTCTGATGGATGATGTTTGGGATGGACGTACGGCGCAGAGGGGGGAGACAGTGGGTCCGACAGCGAGATCGCCGAGCCGCTGAGGACCGGCTGTGGCAGAGGAGTGGATAGGCAGGTGATGGCTGCGGCGATGGCTCAACAGTAAGGCGTGTTGGCGCACACAGTTGCGCAGACAGGCCTGCAGGGTGGCAGAGAGCTGCTCGGCCACGTCGGTGGCTAGATTCAACATCATCGACTGGCTCTCCGTATCCGATGGGCTCGTTATCATTTGATGCTCTCGCCCGTGCCGCCACAGCTCCCTAAGGGAGGAGTAGAGAAGTCCCACTTAAAAATCCATTTCAAAACAACGTTATTCTGTACGAGACTTCTTCTGCGCCGTCAAGGCATTTTTGGCGTCACAATTGCCACAAAATTTATCTGGTATTCAGACGGAAAGTAACACGGGTAGTTTTACGATACCACTCAAGGGTAAACCTTACCTCCATCTTTATCGGATTACGTCAATCGAAGTAGGTTTAAAATTCAAATTGATTTGAATGAATTGGGTTGAATTCACGGCTCAATGGTGAAGCGAATAATATTGTAGGCCAACCCATGAAATGCATAGAAAATCCCATAAAATGTGAAAGATCCAAACACAAGTCAGTCATAGTTGCACCATCATGGGCGTACCCAAACTAAACGGAAAATCTTTATCGATGGTTAATACCGTCTTTTGGCTGAAGTGATAGAATAAAAGGCAGTTTCGTGGGGGTGCTATAGAAGTATCGGAGGGAGTAAAGAAGATTCTGCCTGAAGTGTACTGCTGCAGAAGTGGTAGAAAAAGTTTTGAAGAATGTACTCAAAGTTGAACTATCGCGATACTTTTGCCAAACTACTATTTTTTTTGTAGACGACAAAAGTTGAATTTACAAATAATAACAGACTAAATGAAGCATTTCAGCTAGAGGCTATTTTGTGCAAACTACGTTCCCATTGGGAACAGAACCGGGAAAATCGTAAATTTAACACATGGTGGGTTACTCATGGTCGATGGAGAACAACACCCCGACAACCATTTTATGATAATAGACATAATAGAGGTGGTTTTTTACCTGCCTTAATTCAACCCAACTTAAGCGATACAAAAGTATGAACCTTTAGATCAATCAAATTCTCAATAACAAGCAAGAGCACCAAATGTAATGAATAAAATGTGTGAATTCTACGGATGCTCTTACTTGCGAGAAGACAAAAAAGTTATTACAAGATGCAGATCCGTGGAGCAGTATCATTAGCGCCAACAAAAGATCATAGCAAGAACCATTGCGTCCAGTATCATTTATCAAGCAAACCCGATTTCTTCCGTCTTTGACGGGTACACCGATGCAATTTCCATGCTGGTCACTGTGAGTAGAAAAGTTATTTGATTTAACCCTCCGAAGTATTCACTTTCTATGATACAGATACTGAGAATCGCACAATTGTTTTCTAGCTCATTGCAATCAGTCGTAAAAGCAACTTACACTTTCAAAGGTCCTAATATGGAATATAACAATTAAAAGACACCCAATTAGTCAATCGAAATTCGATTTTAAAAATAGTAGTTTGACTCATTTAAACGACTTACCTTTCCTGAAGTCTAGGTAAGGACGAATAAAACTTTTGTGAACCATGGAGCACTTTATTAAATGATTGCTCAAACTAATACTAGCACTGGAAGTCCAATTTTGATTAAATGAGCACGTGAAAGAAAAAACCACGAGTTCATCCTAAGCGAGCAGGGAAGGCCCAGAAATAACAACTTACGGTAGGGCATTTGAAAAGCGGTCCTTTGAAAGCTTATTAGTACTAAGCGCAGAAGACTATTGACCTCGAAAAGATATAGCCATAGAGGCAATGTATAAGAATCGCGCAAATTCACAAATTATTTTCATTGATAAGCATCACATAAACGCGTACACGGTGAAAGCGATGCGGTAATTCGGGTGCCCAGAAGCATTTTGAGTTAGTGGAACAGTGCCTTCCTGAGCGAACTGTAGTGATCGGCTAGATAGTAAAACCAGGAGAAATTCAATACAACGGCTCGTCTTTGATGCACACAGACAGCAGTGAATCACTGTTTCCAGCCGAGTCTAACAACGGATTTTAACCTTTTCATGCGAAGTGGGGATTATTGTGTCGAGGTTGGAAAAGAAGAGAAGAATGTGTGGTTCGACTGGGCGCAAACAAGGGATTAGTCAGCTCGGGTGCGCGCACCCAGCCACTGCGAAAAGGCCCGTGCATGCAACTGCTGCGATAAATCGCCACTACCACAACGGTACTTGCGCCCTCGTCATCCTCCCGAGGGACAGTGTGGATTGTGATGCAAACTAATGAATCGTATAATCGGGACCCACAAATCGAGAAATCATCCCGCACATTCAACGAGGCAATCACAAAAAACGCAATTTAGTGGTTAATCTAGGACTGCCATAAAAAGACCTACTAGCACAATCCTTTCCGTGCACACGCATTGCTCTGCTACTTTCCTAACAATGTCAAGTCCAGTTCCACAATAATAGGTTTAATAAAGTCATTAAAAGGCAAAAACAAATAAGCATATTCTATTTCTGAATACAGACATTGGATTTGTGAACCACAATGAGTTCTAACTAAATCGAAATATCATCTTAAAGTGATGAGGATGCCAGTTACTGAATCGGCCATGACTATCAGATTTGGGTAGAAAACTAGTTGCGAAATGAAATGTCGCCTACACCAACAAAATCCAAAGCAGTACCTATTCAGCAATGACGGTGTTTAATAGCCCCTGACCGTAAATGGGCCAAAGAGCACAATGAATGAATCGCAGAGTTCAACATCCCAGAAGCAGACCTCAACAAGCAATGTTTTTAAGATATAAATATAAAATATGAAGTATAACACATGTGGTATGAAAAACTAGGTGAGATTAGAACAACCCAGCCAGGGCAAAGGAAGTGAGAGAGAGGGATTCTCGCAAGGCTAGACGCATCTTCGACAAGAGTGTGGAAAAGCTAAAGGCCGTTTTTCAAAAGTTGCCGATGTTCATGCTTGATGAAGCTTGAACAAACATCCAAGTAGAGTGCATATTATGTTAGCTGGATACGTCCCCATTAACAGAAGTGTCCCAATTTGCTTGATATTCCGAAACACGGGTTTCCAATTTACCCCTACGATAGCACAAATCTAATTACCGTGTTTTGTAGCAGAAAACTGTACTGTAAACGAGACTGACTATTAAATATAGAAAAATACAACTGATCATGAAAACTCGACCCTAAGAACCGAATTCTTAATTAAGGCTAAAATGAATTTGGGCTAATTAGGACTTTTACAAGAAAAAAAATTGCATTCGAATTAGAAAATCCTATCAATATTTTTGAAAATGAACAACCATTAGTATAAAACGGCAAGATAATAGAAAAGGTGGAGAAGCGCAAAAGATCATATAAAAGATGAAGAAACAGAAAATTAGTTCAGACTGATAACTCACAACGAGCATTAGATAAGGCAGTTCATTCTAAAAACTGATTACACTTAGAACGACGATAACAACCACCATATACATGAGATAATAATCACGACACACGGGTGATATAATTTGTTTGCATGAATATCCATTCAAAAGTCAAAATTCGGCAATATAAAGCGCATCACCACAACACGAAGCAAAAACTTGTGCTTCAAGCACTACTGAAATTCACGGAAATTTACGAGATATCACAGATTCTCAAAATGCAAACGTGGGAAAGCGCCACCTAAGGGGTGAATGTAATTGCTATCTGTTCCAGTTCTACGGCATTAGAGAGTAATAGCAACAATAAATCAACTGTGCAGGCACTTACACTTCAGAGGCGGCATCCCTGACAGGCTCAGTGTCAAGAAAGGGAGAACGGTCGGCGTGACTGCGATGCGCTCGAGGGCGATAGTTTGCGGAGGGCTGCCGGTGGCCCTCCATCGGGACTCTTGCCGCCACCGCTTCGTAATCCACGAGCCCATTAGGATTCAGCCCCACGCCGCTGTGATTCTTGCGCGCCAGCGGACCCGAGGGAACTTCTAGTGGAGACTTTCTTGCGAACAGAACATCCGATCGCTCAACCAGCTCGCTCATTATGTGGTTTACTACATTTTGACTTGTCAGTCCCTAGCATAAGGGAAGTACAAGAGGATAACAAAATCAGATCGACACTACAACTCTTCTCTTCGAGGTGTTGATGTAAAAAAGCGTTTTAATGCCATTCTCAGGGCCAAATACCGTTTTATTTGATTAGGAAGGAAGCCCATGATTTAAATGCACTACGTAGGCAATGATTCGCACTAATTAGAAGCGTTCCGAAATATCACAAACTTATTTTACACCTACCGATCTTCAGATCACAAGTCAGGACAACAGAAATCTGTGTCAAGGCCACCAATGAATGGTACAAAGTGTACTAAATCCTGATAAAATTCATGTTGACTTAGGCTAATGCACTGGGTAAAAGACAGTGCTTTATCACAACGAAATGAAGTGCATGATGGGGCGTAGAATGCAGAAAGAAGCATTTAAACTTGCAATAAAATGCAAATGTTTAGTGGTTTGCCATGGGAAAAATGCAGGGTAAGGTTGTGTATCTAACGAAAATACCACCTCAGCATTTCAATCAGGTGTGAAGAAGTACATATTAATGATAGGATTCCATATTCGGTCTTTAATTTAATAAAATAACACCAGAAAGTTGCTTGAGGCCCTGGGTTTCAGTGCACATACTTAAGAAAAATAATCAATCATCCAGACGCAGCTATGCACCAATGTCAAGTAAGAATGCAAAGTAACTAGGTTAGAAAAAGATGGCTTCGAATCTTTAGAGCACGAAAATTTGAGATCTGTGAGAAATGAACTTAAATGTCCTCAAAGGTGCACAATCACCTCGTTCATGGGAAAAGGAGGCGTAAGCAATGATAAAAGGTTATGCGATGAAAAATCGGGACTTTGAACTTCATGACATTTCGCTCGGACTGCATAAATGTCAGTTTGTGACTGACATCCGACATTTTTAAACGACTAAACGAACCATTTGGGTTCTGCGTTTGACAACCTGAAAAAAGGAACTATTGGGGTTATGAAAAGATGGAAAATGCAGAACTAAGGATACTCCAATAATATTTTGATTCGCCTGATTTTTTCGAGTAGTCAAAGAAGTAGTTAATGTCAAGTTCTCACATAAAAAGGCAACGGTAATTAATTCCACAATTCCGGAAAAAGTAGTATTATTGACGATAGCATCAACCTACCTCGGATTCCCGAGGAATACGAAAGACGTTAGGGCCAAATACAATGCCAATGGATGTACTGTTCATCTTGTTTTGATTTTGGTATTGCATCATCTGACGAAGGAAGTAGCACAGATACTCAAGAAGGCGGAAATTTGGGGGAGGGAGAGACCGAATGACGCGTTCAATTACCACAAGCGAATCCTCAGCGTGAATATTATAGTTCTTTTGTAAAAAAAATGCAAAGTGTTTCGAACATATAAATAGCAGATAAATAAGTGAAACGAAATTGGCCCTATTTACGATGGACTGAGATAAATGATATGGAATTAACTAATAGAGGTATAAAAGTAGGCGATGAGAATTTTTTCTGTTGCATCGCCTAAATACACCACTAGTGGATTAGCCCTACATGTGTTAGAGAAATTTAAAAAAAATATACACCTAAAGAGAGCTTGGGTAGAGATTTCTCTTATTTCACCGTTAAATCACCAGGAGAAATCCACTGTTAGTAGTAACCTGTTTAAGTCTCAGAATTGTACACAAAAACAAGTATTTTATAAGCGGACAAGGCTGTAAAAGAACTGAAAGTATAATATGCCAAGAGCACATCTTGTAAAGAAAGCCAAATTTCATTAAAAATACTGGCCTCAAAAAATAATTGAAGCGTCTATATTTTAAAGAAAAAACATTACCCCAAGCAGTTCCTTAGTATGAGACGGGGGAACAAGTCCAATCGGGAGTTCTCGGAGAAAAAGCTTGATAAGACTAGCAACAGAATGGATGTCACCATGACGTTCGAGGTGAGCCAGAAACAGGTCACCATCTCCCGTTGACATGAATGAGTCAGCAGCATTTCGAAGATTTTCAATCACGCGGGAGTTACCATTAACTCTAAACACACCTTCAGTGTAGAGACCACCAACAGCGCGTAAGAAAGCGCAGAGTTGAATCATAATAAGAGGCACGCCTTGGCCATCCCTAGCACAAAGTTCGTCCAAGCGAACGCCGAAGCATCCAGACATCGCGGTGAAAAACTCATTTGTCCTTCTCTTAGCCATAGAATTAACATTGGATGGACTGGTATTGAAATGGCGAATAATCTTTTCCATAACTATTTATACAAATAGCAAAAAGTCCATGATATTTAATTTCATCCTCTAAAAACAACATAGCCAATCTTACAGTTGATGGCCGAGTCCTGCAGTTACGTTAAAGCAAAGAGGTGTAAATACCAGATACCACTCTTTGTACAATACAAGAAGAATCAAGATAACGTTAAACCATAAAAGGTGATGTCATGTTTTTTGGTGGAATCGGAATATACCAAAGCATCAAAAGTTATGCGCAACTGATCTTGCAACTGATAAGCGGCGCAAAATCCAGACAAAAATGAACTTTACGTATCATTTCAAAAACACTAATAATAAAAAAACAACTTCATTCAGTTACAAGGCACATGCGTCGCACAAAAGATGCACACTAGATCATACGCTGCAATTTTGGAATCAGCACGTAATATCTAGGGTCTCTGTAAGTTGATGCAACATAAATCCAAGAAAACAAAAAGAGCAAGTGCAAAATGTAAAAATTAGCCTCTAGATCATCTTTGAAAATTAAGTGCAAGACAGACGAAAACTTTTTTAGTAACGCAGTTTTAGTAAAATTAAAAAAAGGAGATACTTTATATGTCCTCAGTAAATATGATTGCATAAAAATTTAGGCGCATTTTTAAGGCGAAAATGCTAAAGTTGTGTATTTTAGATGCGCAGATGCCTTTAGCATTGTCTATTTAATCATTTATTTTCTACTTCATGTTTGTGCAAATATACATGCAACATTAAGTAAATCAATACTGATAAGTCTGTGCTCCAAGAAACGTTAAGTTATAAATGTTCCTTCCTAGTTGACCTCATAAAAATTGAATCGCAGCCATGATCGTTCTTATAAAACCGAATTTTATGTAATTAATGGGTCCGGACGACTAGATGATTTTTTACTTTATAATGTAGGGCGAGACAAGCAGGACTCCTCTCCCCTCTTCTTAGTGCTCTTAAAACAACCAAGTTAATTTAATTTCGACATATTTATTAGAGGGAAGCGGATCGGGAAAACAAGTACATAGTTTGGGAAGAAGAGGAACCGCAATTACTCTCAGGCTTGGGAGACGCTGACTGTCACCAGATTCGAATTGTACCCTTGCCCTTTTCTCTGAAAGGTGCATTAGAACAGTATAAGTATTACAATAATATTTTACTGGATGGAATTTGATGCGAAATGTGTTTAACTTTACGCTTAACTGCACCGACCTCTCTAATATAATGCGATAATGGTTTATCCCTCGGTATTGGTGAGGCACCACTTTCGTACTTTGAATTAGCCCTCTTGTACCTCGCTGGGTGTGTTGACTTTTCGGGCCATGTCATTGTCTAAATACCTTCTCCGTGCTGAATATATATTCTGCCCAAGTATTTTATCTTCATTCGTCTTTAGGGAGTCTCGGAACGCTACACTAATTTCACTAGCTGAGCTTTCTGTGTCCTACTGGATTTTACTCCTGTAAGTGATTTTGTGATAAAGAATGCGGAAGTAAGGAAGGTAGAGGAATATCTATCCCTATTTTTGTGGCTGGTTGACATTAGAGAGGGCATATAAAGCAAATAGTTTGATTGAATATGACCCCCTCCCTTTTGTCAGCTATTGTTAGTCCTGAGTCTATCAAATGATTACTGATAGCGGCTAACTCCAGGCTTAACCAATTTGCAAAGCTCCATGTGAAAGTTTATGAGAATAAATGTGTAGGGGTATTATTTGCGTGGGCAACCGCTATCAATACTTATTTACTAGAAGAATGGAATGAAGTTAGACTGAAGGTTAGGATGTAAATGAAAAAAATATGTCAAATTAAATAGACATTAAAGTTTAGCCTTCCAGGGCTATCTCGGATGCCCCATTTCATTAGATAACTTCCTTTAGGTGGGCGCTTCTGTGAGTAGCAAATGGTATTCCAAATACACTAGCAATGCGGCGTCGAGTGAGTCGCAGATGGAGCCAATCTGTAAAAAAACGTAGGTTATGTGATGCATCAACGACCATGGAGCCGACTGTTTTGATGTCTATACGGATATTTTAAAGACTGTTATCCTTACAGCATCGGTGGTCTTCAAAACCCTATTTCATTGCAGCCGTTAGGGAAGAGTGATCACTGTAATAGCCGGAGAAAGTGCTCATGCAGGACACTAAGGCGTGAGTTGTATTAAGCTCAACTGAATAGGCTTTTTGGTCGCTTTTATTCTCAGTCAGTGGCGTGTTCCTCAGGCTACGTCTGTGGTCTTCTAACCCTTCAGCACTCTAACAATAAGTCCTTTGCCGTACCAGTACGACTCACTTTGGCTTCCATGAGGGTTCAATATCTTGCGTGCTCACAATAGGAAGGTCAGTGGAGACCTTGGCGCACCACCTACGTTAAGCCAATGTTCACAATGAAAGTTTTCTCAAGAGGATTTAGGGTACATGGTTTCTAAACTTAAACTCTAGTGTATGGGGAAACAAAAAGTTAAGTAGGTCGTTACACTGCAACTTGTGCTTGCATTTTTGAATCAATTGGTATTTGGTTATGATACCTATTACTGAAGTAAATGAAGTCAAAGGGCATAATCGGACTTGTAAACTCTACGATTACCGTAATATATTCGAAACAATGACCTAATAAAGTACTCTACTACAGAGATCCTACTTTGTAACTTCAACAAGTGTTTTTTTAATATAACTAATTTAGTATTGCTACTTTGTTTATAACACTGACTCGATGATAGCTGCAAACCACCACCATTTTGAACGGTGGCCGAGTGGGTTGGTCTTGCTGAGTAGTAGAGGGCCCTAGTATTTTGGCGAGTTTTGGCACTTGAAGTGCGTCGCACACTTACTTTTAGGGCATTTACATTTGGTTATGCTGATTGCAGACATTAAAAAAATTATTGGTCTGATTTGTAAGTGGAAGTTATTTCCCCGCTTACGGGTTGCTTTTTAGCGCAGTACTACGCTAGAAGAAAAGTTTTTGCACTTTTCATGCATCTTGTCGCTTTAACAACCTTAATTATCTAATAGCATTTCCTTTCTTAGATTTGCTTCTTTTAATTGGGATTACTATCTATGTCATTTGTTGTGCTTTTACTCAAATTTTTTCTATTTTGGCATCAAATGTGGGCCAAATGCCTTATCTTAAGCTACATTCTATATCCAATTTTTAATAGGAACCCTTGCTTTGGTATTTTTAGCAGAAATACCTAACGTTAATGTGGGTTAAGCGGAATGTACGTCTTGCAAGCCGCTTACCTAAACATGCTTTCTTGAGGGAACCTCCTAATCTGAGGCTGCACGAGAACTTAAAGGACTATGATTTTGAGCTACTTACAGAGTCTTCAGATTCAGATTCTCCCTCTTCTGCAGACATCACAACATCCTATCTAATGGAAAATCTGCAAGGAGTTCAAGGCGAAGTATTGCTATCTGTAAACCCTCGGCGCTCATGTTCGCTGGCTCCTTCCGATTTAGAAGAGTAGTTTCCTTACGTTGCTTACGCGTTAATTTTAGCTGATCGCTGCCGATAATATACTAGCCAAAAGATTCCGTTTCCCCTTCTATCTTGGGGTAGCTCTTATTCACATAGGCATGTGTCGTTATTGTCGATGGTATAGCAAATCGCATTTGTTGTTGGTCGCCGCCTCTTAGTTCTCTTGGAATGCCTCAGTATAGCGTTCCGAGACTCCCTTTGGAATGGAGAAGAAGTAATGTTCGGACAGAATATGAAATTCCCACATACAGTAGGGCTCAGGGCTACTGGGACGCCTCGGAGGTCGATTCACGTAGGAAGTTAATGGCGAGCATCTAAGTGACTTATCAAAATCAGAAGTTAGGTGAACGAAGGAGCCTTATCTGACCTTCCAATCCTGGGGGAACTTGTTCGGTTGTGCTCAGTGATCATACTAATTTTAAGTCCGACGGGTGCTAATCAGGAGGGCAGTAGTATTTATGTCAAGCATGTAGCGTCTCAGCACCTCTCTGAAGACGAAGGAAGATGCAATACAAGGGTGAAATATATGTTGTCGATTGACAGGCGGGTTTGGGGACCGCTGATTTAGCCCAGAGGCCAAGACGCAAGGCGGAGGTACAGTGACGAGGCCATAAGTGACCCGTTATTGAAGCCAAAAGTTAAGCAAGCAATTAAAACATTACAAGTGTGCAACAAGTGCCTACATTGACAAGTGACGATTCCAAGTGGTGCCCTGGGTGCAGGATCGCTTTTGCCTCTTCCGGTAGTTTTGTCCCATTTTCACACATTCTGATGAGAACCAACTAGTGACATTTTATTTAGTGATGGTATCATTAGTAGCTATGGAAGTAAGAAAATTGTGCAGACAATACTGTTGAAACAATCGTTAAATTTGAGCACACGTACAGCTGTGTTATTTGATGTGGCATCCCTTAACACATTTTTAAACCGTACTATGAAGGTGGCACATCTTCAGTTCGTAGACTGCGTTTATTAGTCTCGTAATCCCGAGGGAAATTTTGTTTAATCTCTCCACATGGATTCGTTATAGTAAGGGCGTTGCCTTGTATTCTATGACCCACAAATCCACCAGTGACAATGCTGGTCGTGACCTGTTTTGGTGTGCGGTGTTTGAATTAATGATAACTTGATACTATGGATGGGATGAGTCTTGAAGAATCCTTATCTGGTGTCGACTCTAGTTTGTTTCGTCTGTTTAGACAGAAGACATCTGACTTGCAATATTCGAAGCTAGAAAAGGATCAGTATGTTGCGCGGTGGCTGAAGGCAAGAAGTTGGGATGTTGAGAAGGCTGAAAAGATGTTTAGAATGCATTTACAATGGAGGAATGAAGTCAAGGTTGGTTTGCACGAGATTATCTCACTGGCCGAACCATTTGTGTATTTAAGGAAGTTGTTTACTACTTGGACCATGGAGCCCCACTGTCGTGGTCTGCATTGACCATTTTTATCCGTTGTTTTTGCCATTAGCGATGAAATGCCTTTAATTAGCCTTATTTCTTACCATGGCTACTCTTTGATTGGTTGTTATTAGATTTTCCGCTTTAATTTTCTGCATGTGGTTTCCTGTATGGTTAGAAGCTGGGTAAGATGTTCATTTTACGAAATTCTGCATAGAAAGTATTTAACTTATGTATGGACGGCCAGACTAGTGTTTAATCTACTTTAATTTTCCCTATATCGGTTTGCGACAAGGTTTATTTGCTATGTTCTCTCTCAGAATATTCCGTTGGACCTTTTATACACAGACGTAATGGCGCTCCGGTCTCTGTAACTCTGTAATGCCATCATTTCCTAGATCTACTCAAATCTTCCACCTCCTGGCTATCATATTTTTACTTTTACTCTGGACTTGGTCTTAGGACATCCACTTTGCCGGGATGTTTTTATCTTAGTTATTTATTTTATGGAAGGAATACTCTGTTTTGGATACAGTTTTGCCTCTCTAATGCTCAAGGCATTATATGCACCACTTTTGGCTTAGTGCCTGATCAGCTAGAATATATCATGCAACCTCTTGCATATGTTTGAACAGAAGTTTTTTCAGAACAGATATACGATCTGAGCTCCTTGTTATGGGCAGGAAACTCAAATGCGCTTATGTGCTGTTGTTCCCTTGGTGAAACTGCGTTACGCATGTGTTTCTAACCATATCAGCTGCATTGTTGCCTATTAATGTGAACTGAATTTACATCTTCACTATGCTTCAGTGGCCGGGTTAAGTATGCTTTTGGGAAACGGTATTCGGAAACAGGGTCTTAATTTATTCGACCAGCGTTATTGGCTTTCGTATCCTACGAGGCAGAGTTATCTTTTCTACTTATTGATGAGTAGGGTCTTTACCAGAATTTGGCGTTTACTCTTTACTATTCTTATCTTTAGAATGCTTTAGCTTATGTAATTTTAGCAACTAGTGAGTGTTTTTACGCTGACAAATGTTAATTTGACTAGTGGGAGAATTTTGGAGGTTCTCTACCCTTCCTGTTTCTACCATCACCAGTTGGATGAGCTCCTTGCCACGTTCAAGATGCCTGAGGTAGTTGAGAAATACTTCCCTGGCGGTATCTGTGGACAGGACAAGTTTGGTAGGCCCACCTTCATCTGTCCGGCGGGCACGGCGGATGTGTTTGGGCTGATGCGCTCGGCGTCGCGCACTCAGCTAGCGCTCTCTCGCTACTACGTGATGGAAAAGATTGTGGAAGAGATACTGCCCGCACAGTCGCAGAAGATGGGACGTCCTATCGATCAGCTAGTCATCATCTTTGACTTGCAGCACATGAATCGGCGTCAGTTATGGCGGCCTTGGCTCAATTTTGTCCTTGAAATGACCTCTATCTTCGAGGTCAACTTCCCCGAACTCATGGCTGTTTGCTTTGTGCTCAACGCCCCCTCCTTTTTCTCTATGATCTTCTCCCTCCTCAAACCAATTCTCAGCAAAGAGACGCAAGACAAAATTCATGTGAGTTTCCATTGATTTGACCTTTTTATGCCTTTTGTACCGTTATGTGCAAAACGCCCGACTAGGACGCCGTACCTACCGGTATCAGTGCGCATATTCGACAAACGTGTAGTAACAGGAGATTCTAGTGCTTTTCTACTCACTGCTGTAACAACTCTCCGTTATTCAAAACTCTTGAGAATCTTGTGGGAGGTCATCCGTCTAGGCAGAAAATCTTGTGCTACTAACGAACCCAGTAATTTTTGTTATCCATATTCCCTATCTTGCTGTGATAAGTATGCATTAATTTAGTGCTCATGGGATAATCGAACCCCACTCTTTTTTTTTTGCCTTTTATAGACTTTTTGAAGATTGGATCTTTGTATTGAATGATTTGGAAAACCTGATGCCGATCCCAGTGATCATTCATAAATGAAAAAGCTATTTCTTTCACTATATGCCTGATATTTGTATTGCTGTCACTTTCTACTTAAGTAATTGTCCTTTACCCTTTGGAATAACAAAACAGACAAGCACACACGATATGCGCACATAAATGGACCCCCCTTTGTTTCTGACTTCATATTTGTCGATCCTTCTCACACCGCTTTCGGTAGACTGTTATTTGAGCACTTATATCTGACATTATTTGAGGTTTATTTGTTATCGAGTGTAACCTGAGTTGTTTACAAGTAAATCATCATTGAGGTTATTTCAAAATCTTAGGCTGTAAATCATTATCTTAATTTTTATTTTCGCCACGTGCGCTTCGCCACGTCCGCGGGAATCATATCCATGTTGAAAGCCTCTGGTTGACAGTAGTAATTTGAATTTGACCCTCCATCATACAAGAGTTTCATTGGGCCAGCTGTCACCTATGATTTTAAAAGATTTTAATTATGATTTGCGATATTTATAGCAATTCGCGCCAAAGTTGGGCTTTGCAGTAATCCACCTTATGTTTATATTCGTCTGTCTAGGCACTAGTGTTTTGTTAATCTCACTTTGTGTGGTAGTAAATACTTTCATGAAGGAGCTGTTTTTATGTGCAGGAAATTGGCTATTGCGCATTATTTTGCACATTACCTGTAGCTTTCAGGGAGGTTGTAGTAATGGCCGTTCTTATCGTCTGACAAATTCACGAAATGGATAGATAAATGGGATCTCTTTAAGAGCTCAGCTTGAAATATGGCTGAGAATACATTATTAGGCTACCAGGCAGTTCTATTTTATCACTTTGAAGGGGCTCGGAATTCTGCCTAACTTTTACTCGAACGTGGAATTGTACCGCTACTGACGGTAGCCAAGTCCGGACCCACATGTGCTGTCATGCGGACGTGCCGGTGTAGTACATTGTGCTCAAGTAAACATTTACGCTGCCACGTGTCGATAGTGGTTTTCAGATTTCGTAGTGTGATTGGCTCCACTTTAATGTTCGAAATGTCATGAATCTGGTAAGATTTTCACTTCTATTCACTCATTTCAAAAACTGGTGCCTCTTTTCCTGTATGTTTTGCGTGAAGTTTTCATCCACCGTATTTTCTTCGAAACATTCTTTTTCACTTCAATCATCCACTAAATGGTAGCTTTCTGGTCAGTTTGACTATTTTTACGTTGGTGTGTAAATTCAATATTGAAGATGTAACGATGACTAAAGGGCTCCGTGCCGTTTGCAATTTTATGAATTGAATACACATTCATTTCATGCTGTTTATTTCATGCGATGCCATATTGTAGATGATGGGCTATCATTTTACTTCGTCCATCCCCACCCGCCACTGGGTTAACGGCGCCTACAGAACGTAGATGTAGATGTAGAAATTTGGTGCTAAATTACTCGGTACTGATATCGGGTCTTTGCATTGAAAGACCCTAAACTTATGTCATCATCAATGGGAACTAGTTTGGCAATGCACAGATAATCAGTTCCGAAATGAAGGGCATGGAAGTAATCAAATAGGACCCGGGATCGCTGAAATGAGTCAGTCGTCTTCGTTCTTTTTATGCTGTGGATTTTAGTTCCGCAAAAGTGGTACTGCAACTGCATTCATGATCGAAGATCAGTTTAAATTGAGTTCCCCTGGTTACTTTTCCTCACATTCGAGTGAGTTCAAATAACTCTGCATTTGTGGGATTAAAAGCTTTATTAAAACAGCCTACATGGAATTGCTGTAGTGCTCTCAGTCTTGTTTCAATTCAACAGTGTACGTGATTGCGACTTTGTTTTGAGTATCGAAAAGCAGCTTAGGTATTCAATTTCAAGACAGATTTTCTCGGTTTCACTCGTGAAACGGGTGCTAAACGGAGGTCCCTGTTTTTGATTTACTCCCGTTCATATTCCTGGGGTACAATTATTATTAAATTGACCCGTATTTGACTTGAGAAGTCTCGTACCACAGGTAGCCAACAACCTTTCTAGTAGGACTTCCTCTCTTTCAATGGCATTGCGTTTACGCCTTTTAAGCCCACAATACCTAGCCCCTTGGTTACGCTCACTCCCACATGTTTTTAGTCATTCGTTTAGCACGTGATTTTGTTGAGGGTGGCTAGTCTGCAACCCTTGGCGGGACCCCCGATCTAGTTGCAGCTGGTTAAGTGTCTGCTTTTTCGCGTGCTTTCTAGCAATGGTTTTAAGTCATGTGCATGTGCACCCTTTCGGACTTATGCATTGATCTGGACTTCTGTCTACCCTCGTCATCGCTGGTCCCTCCTATCTCTCCTTCGGAATTAGGATAAACTGACGTTCTTCAGAGCGTTACGCAATCGTAAATTATGGTAATTTTGCCACGTAGGTCTCCTGCTTTAATGAAAGTAAGAAAGGTTTTCAAATCATTTGCGTCTTGTAATTTTGAGTGTTTTTTCCCGCCCATTTAGTACGACATATTTATGATTGGATTCTTTACAATGCCAGTAATTAATCATTTTCATGCAGCTGATGCTCTTGCTTTCTCTTTGACTTGACTTAAAGTACCAGGATGAGTCGTTGCGCAGCATTGAAAATCTGTTCCTTATCTGGATGGAGATCTGGAATTCAAAGGCCGGCTCATTTTCCTCTCAAAATCGTGGAAATTTTTCAAATTCTTTCATGGCAGTGCAACCTCATTGCCCGTTGCCACACACACAAATTCAAATGTTATTACTCCGACCGGCATTACAAATGCTACTTTCAAGATGCCGATTCTGGTCCCTCTCTTTTCCTTTCGTTCCTTGTTTCCCTCCCTTTCTTTTTCTTTGTCTTTTATTCCGTGCGTGATTTTTCGGGGAATGTCATTTGGCTAATCATATTGTCCTTGCTAACATGCTGCGAGAAAAGCTCAATTTTATCATCGTCTTGATCAACTTTGATGTGCCCACTTGTATAATCTTTCCTTTTAACCAGATTACTTCTAACCGAAACCAGAATTGGTGTGAATGGCACAGCTCTGTGCGATCAGGATATCAGCCCGTTGCAGTGCAGTGAGGGTTGTTAGGACTCGGCCCTTCTGGGCCGGACCAAATTAGACGAAGGCCTCATACCTACCATCCAGTCATACTTTTATTGACATTGTGTTCACATGCTCTCTCCGCTGCCTTCATGTACTCATCCTCGGTACTACCCTAGCCCATAAGAATTTTTTGCAACGAAATCTATTTGCTACCCAAATTTCATTATGAATCCTTAGAATATTGTTTCGGTACTGGCATTTATCCAATCATCCTGTGCATACACTGGCTTCTTTGTTCCGAAAGTGCAGTCATCCCATTATCTAGTTCACGTAATCTCGCAATGGTTTTGAGATAAGAGCAACTAAATTTATCTCAAATAGAACTTGGAGAGATGGGAATTTCTTCATTTACATTGAAGGTAGCCGATTATTTATTCTAATTAACTTGAGCTACGTCTGGCTTGGCACGGACTCAAACACGATACAGCCTCTGCTCAGAATTTTCGGTCCACATGTTGCTACTTTATTTCATTTTTGAAGTGGGGAGATTCCCAACTCCACTGAGTCACCATCTGTCAATTTGAGATTATTATTATCCGATAATGTTTTCTTGTGTTTGATCAACAATGCCTGCGAGTAACCCATCCACCACCTTAGATTACCCCATTGTCAGGCTTATCCTTGTCATAGGGTTTAGCATTTCACTAACAAAGTCCAATATTACTTGAGCAACCTGCCTACTGTCTATATGGGCCTAAAGTTAGCTCTTGGGTCTGATGTTCCTTTCTTCCATTCGACCGTGTTTAGTAGTTTTCTTTTAAGTCATTTTAATTGTAAGTTTCACTTCTCTTTGACTACCCATTCATAGTCTGAGAGGACTGAATGTGGTCGCTCTCTGTGATCACTTTTCCACGATCGTCTATTTTTTCTGTCATGATAGTTGCAAACGCATTAGTTCGAAGGTAGGTGACAAATTTATCACACGCTCATCCCGCTCACATTGACTGTGAGTTGAAACTACAGAGAATCGTGAGGTGTTTGTAAATAGGTAGTCAACCATCCGTTGTTGTGCGTCAACCGATCACCGGGTCAGGCACTGCTTATTATGCTGGTTAATGTTGGTATTTAATTATGCGAAAACGAAAATTGGACTTTGGGTAATGGTGGATGAAGTCTCAATAGGACCACTCGCTACTGGCTCCATCCTAAGTTTGTTCTGTGGAATAGGGAATTGCATTGTTTGAAGTGCTTCTGAGGCAATATTTGAACTCACCGATGCATTGTTGCGGAAGAAAATTGAATAAAATTCATATTTAGCCTAGCTAAGCCATTTAGTCACGTAAATTACGGCTCTAGGGTATTTCATTCCCTGCCATTACATCTGTGCGATTGTCGTTTGAGTTAACTCTTTTATATTCACTGGTAGCAACCGCTTTTGAAAACGCGGAGATTGCCCCTGTCTAATGATATTCGCGCCGGGTGTAGGTCAATGACATTTGTCCCTTTCTTCGATCCATCCTCCTCGGCCTCGCATCCTCTGCATTGGTGTTTCATTCAATTTGTAGTGTGCCGAGGTTTTTACTTTGGGCATTTTTGTTGACTCCCAAATTCCAGTACCTCGTGTCTTTTCCAAAGATTGTAGGGACCCTTCTCACCGTAAGTAGTCGAAGGTTTATGTTAGGTGTTAATTGAAACCTTTCTCCGGTAAACTCGTCGCACGTTCTTAAACTTAGCATTTATTTCCGCCTAATAAAGAGCGAAACAGGTGTAGTGATCAGGATGCTTAAGCGAGTGCTAAAGCACTCATCGCAGGTTTTCGCTCACTTACCCGAATTGGCGGAAATGGTGGTAAATGGTCATCTAGACGTCTCTCCTGATTTGTTGTTTGCTAATTGGCTGTTAATCTCTCCCATGCACAGTGATTGCATCCCAGTTGAGCCTATGCAGCCAGTTACTGGGTTGCTTATTTAGTCATTATTTGGAGTAGTACACTTCGGCACTCCGCAGGCCCCTTGTTCGGTTTGTGTTGTAACTTTCCGACTGTCAGGTGGTTTGGACCCACGTGGAGCGTCGGGTTTTTCGTTTGGGGAGGCCAAAAGTCACTTCGTTTCATTATTTAGCGGTCTCGATCTCACTACCAAGCAAACTTAGATGTCAACCTTTATTAAATGATGTCCTTTTCTTTATTAACTGTTACTATTTGAGCAGATTCTATTATTGGGACTCATGGTATGAGACCACGGGTGCGCGTCATCCCACTTTGGACTCCGCCCATAATTCCTTCTGTATTCATCGGCCCAGTCAGGCTAATCTGACATATCAATGGGTGGCTTTTCCACTTACGACGGTGTAATGCACAAAGTCGTTGCGTTTATGTTTTTCTGATTTTTGTCCTTTTATAGGTTACAAAAATGTTTCTGAGATCGCTGGATCATGGTTTCATTCTCTCAAAGGCGTGAAATATTCTGCCTTTTATTTCATGTCCACTTCACTTTTTTCCCTGCAATTTTAATTGAAAATGTTGGTGGAGTAGCTAAGCTGAGTTTAACGTGAACAATTTGCTTTTTCCCTTCGATATGAAATAAAGCAGGAATGAAGCAGACATCATTCACATCTCCTTCATCATCAGCGACCTGAATTGATAATTGCATTTCTACATTATTCAGGAAATCAGGGGTAACTGCATTTCTGCTTATTATTGCCAGTGTCATTGGTGGTCTGAAGACGAGGAAGTTATTCATAATCATGAATATCTGTTTCTATGGGCCCTATTGCAGATACTCGGCTCCAACTACTTCGACGAGTTGCTGAAGCTCTTCAACCCTGAGGATCTTCCGGCTCATTACGGAGGTACGATGTGCGACCCCGATGGTGATCCGAAGTGCTCCTCGCGAATCTGCTGGGGCGGCACCGTCCCCGAGTCCTACTACCAGATCCAGCAGTCCTCGCCCGCTTCCTCCATGGAGGTAGCTGACGACGCCTTTCTTCTTGTGCCCGTGGGTCGCGGCAGCAAAGAGTATTTCTACGTCGGCGAGGCTAAGTCTGGAGACACAGTCTCATGGGAGTTCTATACCGAGTCAAATGACATCGCCTTTAGTCTATGGGTGGAGCCACAGAGCGATTCCGGCTCTCTCGTGGATGAGGGAAGCCGGCGGCGACTCGGAAGGGCACGTGGACCAAACAGTGTTGGAAGTAGTGGCATGACGACTTCTTTCTCCTTTAACAACCTTCTTGGGAGCCAGGGATCGGGAGGCAAGCTAGATCTGAGGCAGATTACACGGTCTTTGCGCGTGGACTGCGACCTGGTGCCCGAGCTGGGCAACCGCCAGGTGGATCTCGATGGAAATTACTATCTCTTGTTCGACAACTCCTATAGTTGGACTCGTGCTAAACGTATTTGGTGCAAGGCCGAGGTAGTGTGCTCAAATCCATTGATTAAAGACGGCAACTCGAACAACAACTCTGTAGCGGATGGAGAGATGGAAGGAGGGGATTTGAAGGCTGTAGATGTTGAACTCTCCGAGGTTATGAAGACGGTATGTGCACCTGACTATTCCAGTCTCTCAACACTAGATGTGGATGTCTCGGCGCTGGTGATTATCCTTCTCAGAACAGTGCCGATCATTCGGCGTCGATTTCGCTCCTCCCAATCTTCCTCCTCCTCTCCCCAGGGGGTCAAATTTAAACGACCCATAAAAACGACTGTTTAGTGTGCCTTCCTTCGAACAGAGCCTATTTTTTTACCCGACCTAGTGACTCAACACCCCTGCATTTTTTTACACTTCCTCTTCCTTCCTTTCAAGTTCTCTAGGGCGAAAGTTTCCTGATACTTCGACGCATCTCGTCTTTTCTTTGATTACCTCCAACCACTCTCTATTCCTCCATTTCTTGTACACATTGATTTTGTTCATCCTTAGGTGGTGTGTACTTGCGTACTGAAAATTTTTTCAACTACGCTTTGTTTTGCATACGTCACCAAATAAACCTTATGGATCAATTCCCAATTCTGTGAAATGTGGATAGCCCAATGCTGGTGTCACATCGGAAATTGTTTGAAAGGCGTGTACATTAGGATCTTCGGATCGTGAGGCGACTCACACATTATGTATTTCACCAGGTGAGGCTTGCGCGAGTTCAGTTTGCTCACGGCTACATGCCATGGTTACCGAAATTATTTGAAGAAGTCAACTTGAACCCTCATGTGGGTATGGACGCGTATGCTCTGTGCAAGGGTTGGATATAAGAATGTGCTTGCTCTGACCTAAGTTTCACAGTAAGAAGTCATAAGTATAAACTATGTTCTCAAGGTATGCTTACAGAGTTAGTCATTTTTCCCAAAATTGCATGGCAGAACTGTAGATGGCCTTCCGCTTGGAAGTGCGTTCTACACAATGTGGACTTACACTTTTAGTCTACCTTCCATATTAAAACCTGGTGTTTATTCGAGATGCTGCTCTCCAACCACAAACGCCCAGGTCTGTTCTAGTGAGTGATTTAAATAGAAAGGAGCTAGTAAGGATCAGAGAGTAAATCACCCCCAAAATATGGTATGCTGACAACTGTAGAATACATAGATTGGTGAGCACAGGAATGGGAGACGGGAGCCGCCTGCAGACCCCTTATCGATTGAGACTCATGTGGGTCTGAGCGATCCCTAATCCGAGAAATAGACGTCTGAGATAGCAGACGTTAATCTTCGTTAGCCAAGTGGCTATTACACACAGAACTGGTCTGACATAACACAAGTTTTTATCTTGTGTCCAAATCAGGTAATCCACCATCACTAGAATGCGCCTCCGTTGACGGGACCAAGTAACAGCGTGATTCACCATATTTTGGGGTGGTTTTAGTTACGGCTGATGAAGTCCTCACTCATTATGACCCCATATTTCAAGAAGGAGTGACCTTGGGACTCTTTCCCTTATTTTCAATTGATTTACAAAAGTGGTGAATCGATGTAACGTGAAGTTTCTTGTCCACAGATTACATTCAGATAGGTTTTCGTGTGAAGAGCCATTGTTCTACCCCCCTCTACCCCAAGGCGGGCATCTAGCATTGCTATTATCAATAGGTTTTTAGTTGGTGGATGCTGAAATTCCTAAAGATCCATTAATATCAAAATTAAGTGAAGTTATAAACTGAATTGGTTTGGATATCTTTGGTCCCACCTACTCTGGGTATCACGTCGATAGAATGAAAAGATACTCTGCTTTAATTCCTGATTGTTATTTAAAATGATCGCACAGGCGACTCACACACGATTAATCAGTGTGGTTTCATGGAGGAATTGAACCCCTGGCATTGGAATAACGCAATGGTTTCACACCTCTCCAATAATAGGGTTTGTTCATTTTAAAAATGGCATGGTCTCATTACAGAATTTCGTCGATGACAGTTTTTACTCGCGAAATTGGCACATTAAATTCATTTCCGCTAAATAAATTCAAATGCTTCTAGTGTTTTCCTGCAAAGATCATGAAATCAACTGATAGTGGTAATAAATCGCAGGAATCACAGATGGAAGCATTGATGAATTTAGGACACGCATAATCTATGAGGCTCTGTGAAAAGGTGGCCTCATTTGGTGTGCCCGGGCACACCATTCTCTCGCATGCGTGTGAGGCAAATTATCAAAGCAGAGTTGGATTGTATCTACGCGTAAAAGATTGGCAAACATTAAAGTTATAAAGCGGCATATAGGATAAGTTAGAACGGTTTTTTGCACATGAGTCCAATTTTTCCACGTAAAAATTAAACGGTGGTAGCAAAGACAACCCCTTCTTGCTATTTGAAGACGATTTCCTCACACATGACAACGGATTCCAAGCTGGTGACAATGAAGTTAGAAGACGCTTTGCGGATCACGTACTCATCTGCTGAAGGTCCTCGATGGCATTGCTTTGGTCGTCTAGATGCGAACATTTGAATAAACGTTTGCAAGCCTTCACTCACGAACGTCATTCACATACCATTTATGTGTATTAATTACTGTCGACTTTTATTACACTTCTTACAAATAGCCTTCGCCAAAGCCTAGCTTCTTGCACTTAGGCCACTGTTTAAACATTTTACTCAAACATGAACATGGCTAGAAGTTTGTTGAGCTTTATGATACGGTCGTCTTGGTAACTTGTTGACAAATCACTGCCCACTACGGATACGTTCGAGAAGTTAGACAGAAAACGGTTTCGAAATAAAATGCGCTTGTAGTAATACGTGTTAGTACATAGTAAGTAGCTTTAAAACTGTTCCGCTGCCTTTTCCATGGGTGTGTCCATTTCTATTTTGGTGTACATCAATCCAAACTGCTTGCATTTTGAACTGTTTAAAGCGCTAATGTTATGTAAAATGGGACCTTCTGGAATAGAAATGCTGAAATGCATTGAGATCGCCCCCTGTTCTATGCGGATGACATTTTCACTTTTCCTTTAATAGCATTTATTCACTGGTACAGAAGAAAAATGTATATGACCTGCGAATAGTGATGAATTTTTAGCGGCAGAGAATTGGGAGGAGGTAAAAAGCAACAGCTTAAAAGATGTAAGCTGCAACTACTATTCTACTATACTTTATAAGTAGCAATTTACTCCTCTTAAGCAAAGTTTCAACAAAACTTCTTTAAATCTGCTTACCATTTACTTTTGGAATTTCATGAACCGAATTCTGTGTCAAACTAGCGCTCTGAACTCCACCAATTCAACCATTATGGTGTTAAATGATTTATTACTTATTGAAGTTGTTTATCTCAAGACACTTATAAACGCCAAGTAGTACGCAACGATGATGTGTTTGACTGTGATTTACTCAACAAAATTGCGATTTACTTTGAGCGCTTTCGTGTCAACTCAAAAGTAAGGCAAAAGGAAACAACTTCAGAGGAGGGTTGAGCCGTATTAAACCACTGGGAACATACATTTCCAACTGAAATATGAGAACTAAATGAACCAGAGATTGGATGATTCAGCTGCCTTAACCAACCCACTACCAACAACAGACTACGGTGAAAAGCCAAATCTGAACCTTTGCACAAAGAACCTTGGTTACCAATACATTTGCTTCCAAAAAACAGATTAGTAAAGGCACGCCCGTAGCGGACCCTACCAAGGAGAGCATGTAAAAGCCAAATCGGTTGAATCCTAAGGATAACTAACTTCGCCGATCTTTGACGCAGCCTCTGTTGCCAAAGGCCCTTCCACGCTATTTTAAAATATAACAATTACTTTAAAAGTACACTTGGTTCTTATGCGCGACGCCCGTCTCGAATTCGGCTTATTAGATACGAAAAAAGAACACTATTTCACCCTGGCCAGGAGAAACCTATGCATGCATGTTTTGAGACGCATAAGAAACTCGAGGATTTCGCACACGTTGAGTCCCAAGACACGAAAATACAGTGATAATGAAAATTTGTTGGTATTTTCCCTTTCCGACTTCGCGGATTTGTAACAGAGGCTACAAAGACACAGAGGTAGTCAGAACATAGCAAAAATGAGAGAAATGGAAAGTTGGCATTGATGTCAGTACGGCAGATTTGGCGATCACAATGTGTCAAAGTGGAGGGAAGAAAGAGAAGTTGAGAGAAGAGTTTGGCGTGGAAAAAATGGAATTGCCATTAAGGTGTCTCCACTGTGCGGTTTGCTTTGGGTTGCAACAGACGTCCATAGAGCTGCAAGAGCTTGTGAATTGCTGGCAGGAGTTGCGAAGATTCGGCCACGAAGATGCAATTTACCACCAGAGGGTAGATATCGATAACGCAGCTCCAGGTATTGGCATCAACTGCAATTTTAGGGGAAGAAAATAAATTGGTTTTATTCAATAGGAATAAGTCGAGCTGAAATAAGTGGAAATTAGCCTAACGAAAAAAGGCCTTTTATCGCTGAGTAGGATCACCAGCAGTACTGTCCATCGATTTACTAAAAACAAATATTTTATAATTTATTTACCAAGACAAGAGAGGAAATACAGTACCACGCAACCCAGACAACTGCTTTGGTAGAGTGGACGAAAATTCCACCTACAGAAAGTGGTCTCCAGAGAATGGGAAGAAATTCAAAATTAAACCAAATGCAGACTTCGCTGCAGGTTTGCTCAATTCATGCACATGGGAGAGAGATTAAGAAAAACACAAACGCTAGCATTAGTATTAAAAGAAATTGAAATATTCTTTCGATTTTACGCAGAAGATGCAACGACGCTAATGAAATTGGGACCTAGACATGGCGGGCATGATAATAAAAATATGCACAAAAAATATTGCCACCCACTTCATCAAACGACAGGAGCAATTCACAATGGCTTCAAAAGTTCCGAATTGTCGTGCGAGGTGTGCTCATAAGGGTCGTTAGAGGGTTAATGAGAACTGGACACTTATGATTCAGTACGGATGAAATGGCCAGCCTCAAGATGCACCGAACCCACTAGCAGCACTTAGTAATATGATAGGACTGTAGCTGTGCCCCTGTTGTCGTGTTGGAAGATGAATGGCTTATCGACAGGCGAAATTGATGGAAAAGCAGGATGAATCAAGGGTAAAACTTGTGAAACACAGAGTCAACCAGCGCTAATCAGCTTCAACATAACGGCTGAGAGATGAAAATCCACTTCGCGCCCGCGATCTGTAGAAGGACATTTATACACGCAAGGCTTCATTGTTGAGAAGGGGATGCCGTGAATAATTAAGAGCGCAGCAGGAGAAAGGTTTAGCACGTCAAAGTGGTTCACTAACCAAATGTAGGAAATGGAGAGGATGCTTCGCGAAATTGCAAAGAGGATATGAGAAAGAAGGGATGAGAGATGGAAAAAATTCGACCACAACTCACTTGAAGTCTTGGAATTCGTTGGAGGAGCCGTAAAGTTAGTGAGGAGGACAGTCAAGGCTTGGAATGCGAAGCTCACCTCCGATAATTTCGCGCTGGGCGGCCCGTAAGGAGAAAAAAGAACATTAGATAAAAATATGCGATACACAAAAGGCCCATGTGATTAACTAAAGGGAATGAAAAAAGGTAGAAAATAAAGGAAAATGGAAAGCAGTAAAAATGGGAAGGGAAGCAAAAAATTGTGGTAACGCCTGCAGTCGATTTCCAAAAAATTTAGCAAAGTTACAACACCCACAGTTTGCATCGGATGACTGTAAAAGTGAATGTATCTACATATTAAGACGTCTTAAGCGGGTAAAATCATTTCCATCTATGAGGACCAACAGACGAATTTCAAGTGGTAACACTTTCAGACAAACCACATGCACGACAGGCGAACAAGCACCCATTTTAACTTTTAGGCATTAATTCTACCCGAGTGCAAAAAGTTGAGGCTGAAGAGGTTGCGTTCAGAAGTGGTAAGCGCATGAACAGCAAAAAATGCGTCAACTTATGATCAGTTAAAAACGTTGAGACTTGTGAAGTACGGAACCCATGGTGTTGCAAAATTGCCGTCACGTTTGAACTTTGGTGAAGGAAGTGTGCTTGCCTTGCCAGGTTGTAAACTGAGCAAGGCTTAGAAGTTTGGCGCTCACTGAATCCAGCTGTGAACGCATTGGGTTGGGAATCCTCTTATGAAACTTTAGGGTAATACCGGAAGTTCAAAGTACACAGGTGTAAGCCGAATTCGTTTAAGCAAAAAAAAAAATAATTAGCGCTACACGACGGTGGGGAACACGCGTACACCATTGGAGTGTCCAGCAATCATGCATCAGAGCAATGAAGGAAGGACTCCGAACAACGCATCACATCAGTCGGGCGGTAAAAGAAGCGCCAACGCACGGTGAAAAAAAGAATAAAAAGTATACTGTAAGTAGAGATTATTCAGCAAACACAATGGAGGATTAATGCGCAATAGTTCATTGTTCAATCCTCAACAAATTATGCAATTACAATGCGTGCCAACTGGGAAAAAGCATGTTTATCGCAGACTAAAAATACCCTTAAAGCTGCAATCAGGTGTTGACAGTGAATGCGAATACACATAAAATAAGAACACGACATCGACAATTTCACTGGAGTGCATGCTTTATACTGACAACAAAATCTCTGACCTGAACATAAAGATTGATAAGAAGGGGCTCGTATGAGGCAAATTTAGATAAAGTAGAGTAATAATGGACAAGATACTGCCAAATAGATATTCATACGCACTGATGAAATGCTCCATGTCACAAAAAGTTAAGGCAAATGTAGTAAACTGAATAGCTGAAAGTGGGTGATGCTCAGAAAACTCATGTTAACATGGCATTAAAGTGCTAAAAAATCGGTATAGTTTTAGCATTTCCAACGGAATTTTGCATTAAGAACAGTATTTCTGTATAAAGTAGCAATAAATGTTTTACATTTAACCATTTCTCAAACCAGCCAAAAACATGCTATTAAGGACAGAAATAATGCGCATCGTTCAAACATGTTAGTAACACATACAACACTTACTTTCAATCACAAAACTGAGGCATGAAATCCCGGGCGCTTGTGGCGTGATGACTCAGATAAACGATGGGGATGAAAAATTATGCGATATTGGGGTTATATGAATAAACGGCTTTTGTGCAAATTTTTAACAAAATGATTCAGAAAGATAGAAACGCTTACCGTGGCAAAGGACACTTTCCAGTCAACTGGGCTGACTTGGCAAAGCGTTGGAGGATGAACCTGCATCGATCCAAAACATCGCGAATAGCGGTTCGACAGAGCACGTGAGGTTTGCTGCCAACTGCTGGGAGTTTCAGGGAGGATTGTGAGGAGGTGGAGCTATTGCAGGGAGAAAAGTCACTCTGAAAGAAGGCGAAGGAGAGTAGCGATTCAAAACACCGACGCATGAATTTCTCTCTGGAGACGAAAGGACGCATATCCCCGTCGATGGAGGTTATGAAAGCAGCGGCATCAGCGGCACCACTGGTGGAGGCAGTGGAGATGGTAGAGGGGCGGTGAACGAAGGGCTGGAAACCAGTAGGGGCTAGAGGGGGAGGCGTGGGTGGACCAGGGCGCAGGGTGTTGGGGTCGAGGAGGGCGAAGTCAGCACTGCTGATTGACGCCTCCACTGAGCCCAGACCCAACACACCAATCAATTGTTCTATGAACCTCGGAGGTAGACCCTCAGGTCGGGACAGGAACCGGTCACAGATTAATTCGATAAACTGAAATGGAGAGTTCAATCCATCGCATCTTGTAGGAATACTTTCAAGCAGTTAACTATGTATACGATGACGCTTACCACTATTCATGATTTTTTTTAATCTAAACGTGAATAATGTCTAAGTTAACTTTATTGATACTGTTTAAATGGTACGAATTTTTCAACCATTAAAATCCTCTTCGGCTCACTACTTATAAAATTCGGTTCAACTCAGTGAGCCTATGACCATAAGTCGACATGTCGGCACTTGAAAGTAGTCCATATGGACGCTGCTGAGAGTAATGAAAAAATCCTTACAATCGGTCTCATTATAGCTGGCCGATTCATAAATTTGTGGTACTGTATGAACTAAAGAGGGGAGATCTTAGTATCTAAAATTTAATGTAATGAAGCTATTCTTAAAGCGAGAGGGAGCATAAGTATTTAGCTTTAACTTACTTTGCAATCCAATGCTTCATGTTGCTGAAATTCTTCACCTGAAAGCGGTTCCACCGGTTGACTGAGGCGTTTCAAGAAAGCAATTAGTTAGCGAGAAAATTTATTGAATCAATCTATCTAATAGACCCAAAATACTCACTTCTGACAGAAAAGAAAATCCCGAATCGTAATGTACACCAAGTTCCATAATTCACCTAAATGGAAATAGAAGAGAATGCGGTATTTCCGTTTGAGTCCGTCATGAATTCGCAAGCCAAGCAGCGAATGATTGCACATGGAAACAAGGCTTGTAGGCTTTGGTTTTTGAGCAACACGGCGAGACTGCCCATTACACAATTGGTATACTTAGATGAAGGGACCAAAATGTTCAAATATTTGGTTTTCACAGGGAAGGAAAAGACCAAAGGGTGCATAATCAAACAATAGTGTTGACTGCCACCAATAACATGGGGTATCGTGACGTGGGAGGAGAAACAGAAAGCGGGTAGAAAGTAGCCAAAAGGGCAGGCGAATTCACAGAAGAAAGTATCTTACCATTTGCTGTTTTCGGGAGCGAAGATTTTTGTTTTGTGGCGATGGGGACTCCGATCGCGATGGTCTCCATGAAACACTTACTCGCGAGCAGCCAGGTGGACCGACACTGACACTTGTACTTGGCCGCCAACGGAACGTGTAACGCCTGTGAAACAAAAACGAGACAAAGAAAAGCTCAAAATCACTCAAATCCCAAAGCACTTATTTGGTCATACAGGTAGGTTGAATCGTAAACAACATTATCCCCATTTGTCACATACCTTTATCCACTTAGTATAACGTTTCCTGTCCAGTGGAGACACGAATGATGAAGCGAAGCGATAAATTTTGGGTGCAGTAATAGTCGCTGTAATGCTTTGCCATTTGGAGGCATTCGTGCGAGGACAAAAACGTTCACATTTTAAGCATTGCATCACAATTCTGGTCGTTTGAATGGCACTAAACTAACAGTCGTGCGTTAACTTAAGTTCAGTGCTAAAGGCAGTAAGGACTCAGTAAAAGGCGTACTCGTAGCAGCTGTACAAAAATGCTAGAAGCAGCACGCATTAATAATGTAGATAGGCTAAAAAACTGTTGCGACCCTGCAAGTTCAGCGCATTGCCCAAGTATTAATAGCACACGTGTTTTAAAAAACCTGCTATTTCGCTTTAAAATTAAATCAGAAACAAATAAGTATGCCGTCAAAGAAGAATGCGTTGCGATGGAATACGCCCATTGGTGTAAATAATGGCTCGTATAACTTGGACTGAGCTTACAACTAGCAGTTAACTACGTCAGATGGCCATACTTTATGTTTGAGAATGCAACACTACCCGCCTCAATCCTTCCTCGAAATGTTGACGCAAACCATAGAATTGGTGGTAAATTCATAATTATCATCGCATCAAATTCAATAGGGAGCAGAGTAACTTACTTCCACCATTTTCAACAGGCCATTAGCATTGCGAAGGACCTCCGAGTTTGCAAAAGCCTTATAGAGCTGTGTAGCTAACTCTAGGCACTTCTCGGCGAAGACAATGTAATTCATGGGTATAGCCTCCACCTGATGATAGAGACAAGCATGGATAAGTCGGCAGTGAATGAAGATTCAGCCATTAATAATGACTGCCTTGGATAAAATAAAGAGACCACAGAGACTGAAGACTCGGTAAGACGTGTGGGTTGAGATGTATTCCACTAGAGACGAAGGTGCTTGAGTGACAAAAATTAACTAATTAAAAGTGAACTCCACATTCGCAGCCTTCATGAAGGTGAGACGAGTTAACTAAATTAGCTTGTAGTTAAACAAAAATCTCATTTGACAATGCACCCAAAAGTTGTTTCCAAGAATTAGCACGTTTACCACAGAGAAAACTTAGTTTGAGAACTATAAGAGCGCCCAAGCAGGACCAAGGCCACTTTAAATAGATATGAAGAATCGATCGGGTTAAAATTAACATAAATTTATAGTTACGTTTCTAACTGCTGTGCATTTACCATTCTCATCGGTATAACACCGAAAATATGAGAAACAGACAAATGAGGCTGTATGCGTGTAGAAATGTATGGAATAAGGCAAACAATTTGTGATATCTCCAAAAGACGAGTAGATGCAATTAAAATTTGAACGCACTTTCAGCAGTTTTGTGGCATCACTACTAGTGCTAATCGCTAAGCTGGAGAGACCGCATTGAAGTGCTAATTGCCTTCAATTGCACCTTGTTAGACAACGTAAATACCAAAATACTGGCTCAAATAGAAGGGGCATTTGATTCTAAGTGGTAGGAAAAGAAGACTGAGGTCAGGAGGGTGTTGATAACGTTTCAGAAAAGAGTAACTACAAGATTCAATCAAATTCCTTGAAATAATAGAAGTTCTAGTCTCAAATGACCAATAAATAAGCAAGCAATTCATCACAAAGTGGATTTCAGTGCTACTCCAGACTACAGACTACATGGATTAAAGCAATGGATCAAATGAGACAATGTACAATTATTTTGGCACTCAGGCTGACTACTCACCTCAATGAGTCCAGACTCATTAATAATCCAAAGCAAATGCGTCAGCAAAACCGGTAAACAATAACAATTTCCAACATCTATTAGCATTTTGAGGAAAACATCAGAGGCCTGTATTTAAAATGTATGCAAACGTATCGAGGCAAATGGGTGGGAAGATATTGTATTCACGCTCAATTCGATGGGATCACTAAGGCTAAGAATTCTTCCATATGCCAAATTCTCCAGCATGACGGAAACAATAGTGCCTCTCTGGCAGGCACCATTGCACTCGGGGATTTAACACCTCGGTGTAAAACAAATAGCATTAGATCAGACAGGAGCAGTGAAGAGACTAACTTTAGGAAGAAACTCCAACCACCTTTCCGTCTAACTCATGAGGTTTCGTAAACCTGCACTGGAATGCGGGTTAGCACTGAGATGGGCAAAACAAGAAGTGTTACAAATTAAATTGTCATTGCCACAAACTGGAACTTTTGGTGTATGAGTTGTCTGTATCCTATCGGAACCACCAACCAGATAATCAGTGGGTAAGACTAGGACAGACGGACCCATTCATTAACATGGATGACGTACGGGCACAGGCCTAGGTAGCGACTAGCGGAGATCACAAGGAGGTTGTGTCAAAAACTGCAGTTTAGTCTGGGTCTCTTGGTCGGAATAGTCATGTGTATCATTAATACTGGCGTGACCTTGAGCCTAGAGGGTCTATTCATGTACTTAAAATCGATCTGGACGTTCTGTGGCTCAATCAGAAGGGAGTGAGTTAGAGAGTGATTTCCAGAGGGTTCGGAGACCATCTGCAAGAGCAGAAAGTTCTATAAAATTGAACATTGACGTTTGCTTGGAATTGCAGACATCTCCAGCAAAAAGCATGACTTTTCATCACGTGATGGAGAGCCAAATTTGCCAGTCCCATGCTCTCGCATCGGATGGGCTGATAATTCTCGGGAAACACGAATATCTCGTTAAATTAGCATCTATGTTAAATACTTTTCTGTGGAAAAACCATCAATTCCCAAACAAATTTTAATGAATAGAGCTTAATTTAAGATAAAAGATAAACCATGGAGCCGTGGAAAACAGCGTAATGATATCTTCCGTTCAAACAGGCAACCAGTTGTAACAGTAATTAATGGAATTAACTGCTGCAAAAAAGTATTTAAACCATAGAAAACAATTTCATAGATATAAACTATCAGTAGATGGAACTTCTCAAAGGAATATCTCACCCTAGACTTGGCAAAGCGGAAAGTTAAGCAACGAAACTGTCTTTTATTAGATAATTTGAAACAGCGATTATGGCCAGGGTCCAGGAGACAAACACAACTTGCCTATCTATGGTGAAAAATAGGCTCTATATGTATTGAGTAATGTGCAATTCTGTCTTTTAATGAGGCAAGATGAAAATGCTATGGACTTGTCTGCACAAGGCAAGTCTGCCAAGATTCGCGGTATATGAACTTGGGAAATAGCATAAGGCTATCGAGATGGCAATAAAGGCATTGTTCAATGCCAAGCCTACCTTGAATACATAACAGGCGAAAAGAAATAAAACGCTGCTATTTAGTAAGGTTTAACGATAGCAATAAATTGCTCGAAGTTAAGATGACAGTAAGTCATGAGAGATGTCTACCTAATTCTAAAGTTTCGATGAAACGGAATTAGAACTTTATGGCTTTCAAAAGAGAACAAAAAGGACGACTTACAAGGTCGGTGTTTGAACCTGGTCTGGTGATTCGAACAGCATATAAGGACAATCGAAGTAGCAGTTCAAGGAATGGGACAAGGAGGATTTGAAAAGTAGACTCGTTTGTTTGAATTGCCTGAAATTAGTGGCAGGGGCTTAGTAACCAGCTACCTGTCAGTGCTTGAGCCTCAATGCTTTACTCGCGGTATGTCATAAACATGGTCAGAAAAGTGGATCTCTTACATTCATAATGTAAAGTGCTATGGAGTGTTACACAAAAGTGGTATGTTAAAATGGAAAATTCAAGATGACTAAACAGTTACGAAAACGGCAGCTGAACAAATACTAAAGATCTGCAATAATAAATATTAAATTAATGTGAAGAATCATCATAACCAAACCTAACTACAGCGATTAATTAGGTGGATTATTATGAACATTGGAAGTGGATTTCCCCCTCCATAGGGGTATAAAAGGCATTTTCTTCGTTCAAAAAATACCCAATCATGCCTTAACATATTAACAGTAGATTTACTACTGTCGTTAATGATCTATTATTAAACAAATGCATAACAAAGATAGTAATAAATCATCGGACATGATAAATACAAGTGCAAGAGAAATCGCCGACTGAACGATATGAAGTAGTTTAGTGCTTTGGACAATGCACTTGGCCAATTTTAGGCGATTCCGAAAGCTCAAGATTTCGAAGTCATTCTGAAGCAAGTCAAGAGCAACCTTACCTCACCAATCACTGAAAGACAGTTAAAGACAGATCGCTGTGTTTGTGTGAGACCTTGCTCGTCTACGACGTTGGCAGTGAAGGAGGACATAAAAGAGGGTGTTATCGTCGTCGCCGTCGTTCTTAAACCATTCACACCCGATAGAGGGGGTTGGTGACTTAAAAGGAGTGGGCCCAGCACGCCCTGACTTGCAATTTTGCTAAACTCTGCGAAGAAGGCACCATTGAAGTTCTGCTGAACCCTTGGAAACAGAGGAGGAAATAGATCGAAGAAGAGGGCGAAGAAATCGGGACCGAAGGTGCATGCGGCCTATAAAAGGATTGGGGGGAGCATAATTTGGTCCCTTGAATATCAAGTGATTTTACGTTGTTGCTACTTGAAGCTGCATGAATACCCATTAGTTACCCGCCCAACCGTTGGGGTGAAACATTTACAAGTTTGGTTGTTTATCCACTTATAAAGATATTATGGCCGTAGCAGCACTTAGAGACAGAGTAAGAATGAATAGTTCATCAATGGTTATTAGTGAATGCTTAATAAGTTGCAAATGGCAGAAATCAGATCCTCTAATGATAGGGAGCAGGCACAAGTGAGTGGAAGAAGAGAAGGAAGTCCATAAATATATTTCGGCAAACTTCTGGAGGTTGATAGTATCAAATTCTAAAATAGACACACGAAGGTTGAAGAGATCTGACACGTCTACATCGACAAAAGAAGTCTCGGAACCACACAGATATGGCAGTTTGGACATAGCTGCAATGCAAATAATCATATAATAACACTGCACGAAGTTTTACTAAGTCATGAGAAAGTAAACTGTGAGAAAATCACGCATAAAGTCAAACGAACTCATTCTAAATTTGTCTGACGAAGTATGGTTAGTCAATACAGGTTCTGTTACCTAATCGTTCATAAATTGAGCTACACGAAATCACATTCCACAGCACTTATTAAAGTCCTACTTCCTGTCCTTAAATAACTTTCTCCTCGGAAAGAAAAGCAAACAGTGAAAGCTAAAACCCCATAGTAATCAGCATACACATGCAGAGAAAGCAATCCGCGTTAACCCGAGTGAGGCATACAGGCTTTTGTAGCGTTGTGTTTTGCGATTGGAAAGCTTCGTTTTTCGTAATGTCCTCAGAGGAGTTGCTGGCGGAGAAGAAATCAATGAATTGACCTCCAATGGATACCCAAGTTCGCCAAAAAGCCAACCACGTGGCCGTTGATTTGTCAATCGCACACTGTGAGGTATCGAAATCCAGCAAGATCCTCAGGGTCGAAAGGGCATTCTGGGCGATCTCCGAATTCGGCGTGAGGACAGCCCGTTCAGCGTTTGAGAGCAACCGTTCCCAGATTTCGAAAAACCTATCTAAAGGAATATTAGAACAATAGCCATCAACGAATGGAATAAGGGTAACTAAAAGCTAGGTACACAACGCGTAGAAATCCGACAGAATAAAGGAAACTAAAACAACTTTGATGTGAATGCTTGAAAGGTGGTGCGATATTGGGTCACAATTCGCTATTCATATCACTCACCGAGAATCATTTTGTAAATTAGTCTAGATTAAACGCAAACATCAAAAGGCTTATTCTGTATTGAATTATGAATTTCTTAACTAAACACGACAACCAGACGTGCTGTAATCACAGTGTTATCCCAAAATCAAAGATGGAAGACATAAGTACCAGCATAACTACAGGCGATGGAAATGCCCACAAAGCGTTTTACAGTTTTTCAAAGGGAAGGGTTCTCAGGAGATACGGTAAACTATGGCAATATTAGCCGGGACTTTATAAATGAAGCATATACTGGGTTTAGGCGATCCTGAATTGAACTAAAGTCGTTAGCATAAATTATGGATTAAAGGTTAATAAATTTACTACGAAAATAAACATCTAAGTCAATTTCGAGGATTTGAGCCTATAACGACCAAATTTGTATCACCGCAAATCACATTCATTTGAATTCTACATAGATGGAAGCAGATTGGTAATAGGGGTCGCAAGAAACGCCTTTGGCCATTTTTCCAAATTACCTCATTTTACTTTGGATTCTAACATTCTCATGCGAATCTCGCGGATTACGGTAAACAGACCATTCAAAAGCGCGAACACTAGGACTAACGTAGAAAACGCATGAACATTAACCCACAGCGAATAATGAATTCGATTTAAAATGACAAATGCCATGGCCACAATCATGAGGGCTATGATTGATGTACCCAATCGCCTTTCATAGGCACATACGGGGAAAGAAAAAAGCAGACCACAAAACAGAACGAATAAAGATGTATCGGTAAGACAGATTCAACTAACTGCTCATGAGCATGATGAAACTTCAGAGCAGAGGCCTTTGTTGCCTTAGTTCAGAGCATAGCTGGTAGCCACAGCTCTCGTGCATTTCTCTTGAAATGATCTTGACGACAAAGGAAGAGTTACCACATAACAATGTGGCGGAATTCGATACCAAAGGAAATTCGAATCCTCTAGAAATATAGTTGCTAAAACTTGGAAGTGAAAAGTTCTCTGGGATCGGAGACCTTCTCAATGATCCACTTTTGGGAACAAAAATAAGCACTTACTTCAAACATCCCTGAATAAGCAAAAGAATATGAACTATTCATCTGAGGAATGGCGAAAGTACAAAAACCTGAAGTCGAGAAGTCGCGGTTGATGTTAGGCATAAAAAATAACCACATGAAACAATTGTGTTCAAGGTCAATCCACCAAGTAGAGGAAGAATTGGCGGATATATACATTTAAGCCTTTGCAAGTACAATACAATGGAAGGGCATTTGTTTTCCAGCTAAAATTCAAAGCATACAATTATTCTGTTGGCCCCACTTATTTCATTGTTTTAGAAACAAAAGAGCTATATCATAAGAGTCCATGTATTAAAGGAAACCAGAGAAAAGAAACCTGCAGCCAATAGCAGCAAACATGTTTGCCCATGAGAGAATTGTTTGATTGCACTGACCTAAACGATTTTGCATGGGTGAAGAAGGAAAGATTCAGTCAGACGGAGGAGAAATTCAGCAGAATAAAAGTGGGATTTTGCGATGAAAGATTGTTGCATAAAATGGAATTTTACGTCCAAATGCCCCATTTCAACGGCATTAAAAGGACGCGAAGTAACTCAGGTATTGCACTGTTTTGGTTATATTAACGGGGAAATACAAACAATTGTACTTAACAGGAAAATTATTAAGTAGCTCCGGCGTAACAAAAGCGGATAGATGGATATTGTACACAATCTTTGAACGTGCAAGTGATGTGGCTGCATTTTGGAAGTCGGTGATGGCAACATCTGCTTGCTGTGAGGCCTACCTTTGCATTCAACGCATCGTAATAATAAAGTGCGGTTACAAATACAACACCTTTCAGAGAGTACTTCACGCGAACGGATCGTTACTCACGGTCTGGCTAAAGAAGTCGACTTTAACGCCGTGAAAAGCCAAGTAACAGACGCATAGGGGCACGGAAGTAGTAGCAGGTTCTTAATGGCCAAAGCAAATTGAATGTTATACTAAAATCATTATCTCGAAAATAAACAAAAAAGTGTTTAGTGAGTATCCAGAGCTACAGGTACCTAAGAGTCATTTGAAAAATCTCAAAAAGCAGAAGCATTAATATTTAGGTGCCCCCAGGTTACACGAGTGGTCC